GATGACTCTTAGCAACAGCACAATGTGTACAAAGATGCTTATTACACTCTGAGGAAACATGTAAATGAAATTGGTTGAAAACAACTTGCAACTTTTGTGAAGAAGGATGGCCTAGCCGATTATGCCAGATACTAGAAGAAACATGTGAGGTTTCAAGACAAGCAACTGGAGAGATGAGGGACTACTGAGATGGTGAGAATTGATACAAGCCATTTTTATGAATCCCTTTATACAGAGGAGTGTAGGTATTCTTGTCCTGAATCACAAAAGAATTGGCATCAAAAGTAATAGAACAATTATTGTCCTTAGCTAATTGATGGAATGAAATCAAATTGGATGAAATATAAGGAACAAGAAGCATTTTGTTAAGATAAAAAGGAAATGTCGGTGTTGAAAGGAGACAATTACCAGTGTGAGTGATAGGTATAGTGGTGCCTTGTCGTCCCTTCCTCTGAAGTCCTTCCTGCTATTTATACTCTCCGAAGATAACCATCGAATTGTACTTCAAACCGTCGAACTGCTCCTCCATAGTCGCTGATCATGCTACCTTATAAGTAGTTCCACTACGCCTTCACTTGCAGTTAGGCTTCCCCCTTATATTCGAATTTGAAATGTGAGCAACCGTTGAAGCCACGTCACTGTACGTCTCTTTGTTGATCTGCTACTACTAAGATCTTATAACAACCAATATTTAATTGCCACGTGTATGATCAGGATCGGAGACCTACCTGGTCTCCCCATATTACCCTCACTTCGCCACGCGTCGGACTGTCACTGGCTTAGTAGAAAATGTGTAGCCAACAGACTTAATATGAAAAAAGCCCATCTACCATTGCTAGAAGAAAGATTCAGGTTGCGAAAACCCACATGCTCTATCTACAACGCTGAATTTGATTTGTGAACATGAAATAGCAAGTCGTTTCAAGCAGGAGCTTATCTTCAAAATGGCAGCTCAAAACAACTCTGGATACATATTGATGGCTGCCCCCACAAGGAGATATCCTGCAATAAATTGTATCCATTTATTGAAGCCTAGGTTGGTCATATTTTATTTGTCCAATCTGTATCTATTTTAACCCAACCCGTTTATTAAATAGGCAAGTTTAAATTGAGTTTTAAATGCATAACCTGTTTTCACTCGCCCATTTGCACCTTTACCCACAATACTAACAGACCTTTTAAAATTCTCAAAAGGTTATATATTCCTGTATCAATCCTCATACTCATAGTCGAGTAATAATGTTGGAACAATTTTTTGTGTAAAATAAATAAATTGAAACAAATTAAACGAATAAAATAAATTACTTACCGAATTTATTTTACCGAACCGAATAAATAATTAAAAGATCAAGTCGAGTGTGTGACACTCTGTCTTTAAAATAGATTCGCCCCACTACGGTGCTTACGGACAAAAGGCGTCTATCTCCCAAGATACAATGATCTTCACAAATTGTAGTAGCACTTCAAACAATTTATATGGCGAACAAAACCTGTATTCTTAACTCTCTGAATTTTATTCTAAAACTAGTATGAAAAATAATGATGCAAGAAAGCAAAATGAAGGCAACAAAATGAATTTTCTCTGGATATTTCCCCCAACCCCAAACTGTTGGAAAATGCTGGAATTTATAGGCCAAAAGATTTGTCCGAACAAGTATAGATTTTGAATGAACAGGTATATACTGTTTTGAACAGATGTAGATTCAAAATTTGAACAGTTCTGTCACTGTTTAATCTATAAACTGCTGGGCAGTTTCTGGCAATTATAAACCTGTCAAAAAACAATTTTAAATCTGTTCAAAATTTTAATCTGTTAAGAAATCAAATGAACAGGTACAAACAGGTAACTGTCCAGCAGTTTCTATCTGTTGGAAAACTGCTGTAGTTAAAAGACCTGTCTGGCAGAAATGAATCTGTTCGAGTTCAAACAGATTTGAAAACTGTTTGAACAGTTTAATCTATTTTTGGAAAAATGGACAGGAAGAGGTAACAAAGGTCAAAATATTAAATTTAAGTTTTGAATTAATTTTGTAAAGAATTTTTGGAAAAAAATCAAATAAATTTTCTCTAAAAAATTAATATAAGAACCGACCTGACCCCTGACCCACAACCCATACCCGACACGGCTCGGCTGGACGGCGACGCGCGTGTGGTGGTTTGGGCTAAGGTTTACTTTGTCCATAACTCTTCCCTTCTACAAACTTGGAGTGCTCCTTGGGGCTCAACCCAAGTATTGTCACCTAGAACTTATATACACACATAAGTTCTCTTTAAGTTTCAATGTGGAACAACTCATTTTCAAAGAAACCCACATTTACTTCTTTAAATGTTCATTCTACAAACCCGAAAACGACGTCAAGTTCTCATTCACACATAAATGATTTTGACGAACTGTCTTCACTACGTGACTTGTCACGTGGCAAGAAACACGCACCTCTTCAGATCCACCCAAAAAGACGTTTGAGACCCACTCAATTTTAGGCTCAAAGTTGACCCAAAATATGTCTTATAAAACCAAATTTTCCAACAAATAAAACCTCAGTAATCCAAATCTCAACAATTTAGACGCCGACAAAGAAATTGATGGAGAAGAGAGACTAGATACCAAAATAAATCACTTTGTTTGATTTCATTTTTTCAAAAATATTTTTCAGAAAATTTTACTTTCTTGTTTTCCGTTTTTTTTGTTTTTACTGAATTTTTTAAATATTTTAAGCAATTTTTTTTATTTTTTAGACATACCTAACATAAATATACCTAAAAAATAAAAAAAAAAATTACGAAAAAAATCTTTTAAAAATTCACTAAATACCAAAAATATAAAAGAAATACAAGAATTCAGTACATTTTTTGTATTTTTATGTGTTTATTAATTTTTAAAAATATTTTTTCACAAATTTTTTACTTTCTAGATACATCTAAGTAAGGTGCATCTAAAAAAGTAAAAATATTTAAAATTTTAAAAATATTCACTAAAAACAAAAAAAAAAACATGAAAACTAAAAAATTCAATTTTCAAAAAATTTAATCCAAAAAACTCAAATCAAACACACTGAATAGTCTTCTCCAATGACCAAGACCATGGGGTTAAAGAAAACCAGTTGAGAAACTCATTCATATTGTTTTGTTCTGATTTTTAGAAAACAGTTTTCAAAAAATTCTACTTTTTTTATTTTCTATATTTTATAATGTTTTCAATGATTTTTTTAATATTTTAAGCAATTTTTTAAAAAAAAAAAATTTAGACACATCTAACATAAATACACTTAAAAAGTATAATATTTATGAAAAAAATCTTTAAAAAATACACTAAATACCAAAAAAATACGAAAATTCAATACTACATTTTTTGTATTTTTATATATTTATTAATTTTCTAAAAAAAAATTCACAAATATTTTATTATTTAGATACATCTAAGTAAGATGCATTTAAAAAAGTAAAAATATTACTTAAAATTTAAAAAATATTCACTAAAAACAAAAAATACGAAAAATAAAATACTCAATTTTTAAAAAACTAAATTCAGAAAACTGAAATCAAATCTCAACGTGAAGACCAACACCTCTCCATAGTTGCAGCAATAACGTTGAGCTTACACAACTACAGAAAGGGTACAAGAAAAAGACGCCAACAAGAACCAAAGCATATCCACAACTCACAAAATGCCTCTCAGAAGAAACACCTGAAAAATGATAGCGAGAGATAATAGAGCAAACAAAGGTCTATAAGACTAGGAATTGTGATCAGCCACTCCAGGATGTATCATAGAGAAGGATCAAGTGGAGTATACAAAGGGCTGAATGATGAACCAGAATTTCGAAAAAGAGAAGCTCTCAAGCCACGGGGATGTAGTGCAATCATGCATGGACAAAAAGTTGTACATCTTTTGTAAAGCCAATTAAATACAATTACTTACCTGAGTAGACATAAACTCAAACCCTACTTTGAGTGGGATCAAACTGCTAGACTTTCACTTTGAGAAAATGTGAAGCCATCAGAACAAAGGCCACTCCCAGCTGCTCATCCCCACAAAACAAAGGGTGCTGTGTGGGGTGAACTGGATACGGGACCTAATCTCTGGCATAATATGTGCAAAGTGGTTGTTCTTACATTCAAATTCGTGTTCTCATACTTGGAAGCCAAGCTTTCACCACTGCACCAAGCTTCGTCCTAGCTACTAACTGATAGCTCAAGTGATATCCCACACTTGAAAAGGTTGCATACTTTAAGTCCCAGTATGAGAACAGCAGTATCATGGTTGGTTTCTTGTGTGTGTGTGTGTGTGTGTGTAGGGGACGGGAGGGACCATGAGCTTGGATAGAGGGGTAAACCAATGACCAGGAGAAAACATAAACAAATATTTACATGACACTCATTTTCATAGAGAAATAGTTAGAGGAGACGGGAAAAAGAAAAAAAGAAAAAAAAAAGGAAGGGAGAATGGTTTATAAATCTTTAGAATTTTAATACTCTTGATGTCATGAAGTAGCACGCTATCTCCTTCGGATGCCATCATGGTAAAAATGAGAGTGGAGAGTTATTTTCATTTTCATTTTCATTTTGCAAGTGGGGGTAGTCTATCCAGTGTGCTACGATAGAAGAACAATAAATTGGCGAAGAAGCAAATATTTATCCTGACAAAATCATTTCAGATGAGAGGAAGGGATTTAAAAACTGTAAAATAATATATTACTATTGATGACATGATGTAGCCCATTATCTCCTTTGGGTGCCCCACAGTACAACAGAATGTGGAGAGTGATCTCATTTTCATATTTGCACTTTTAGGTTCGTTAGTGATTCACAAAGTTAATAAACAAAACTGTGTTCAAGCACAATGACCAAAACAAGGCAACAAAATAAACAAACAATTGGTTAAAAGGAGTAAACTTCTTTTTTTTCTCGTTTTTTTTTATTTTTTATTTTTTTACCAAAGACTCTATTGAACAATTCCACAAAGTTAAATGAACAAAAATGTGTTGAAAAATTCCAAAAGGTTAAGAGAAAGCAGTAGCACCTCTCCTGATATTCAATATCCACCAGCACCCCTTGTTTTTTTATTGCAAAATCGGATATTAGCCTCTGACCAAACTCACAACTCTACTCAATCTCAATAAATTATGCTGCTGCAACTTTGAAATATTGAATTAAAAAACTGCAGTCAAGCCAGAGACTTGAAAGGGAAGTTATGGGGCTGTTTGAAAAGAAAAAGGAAAAAAATGAGGCCAAAATATGTAGGAGCAAAACTACCTGGTATCATCATGGTACTACCACTCAAAAACAAGAAAACCATAATCCAATAAGCAGGGGTGCATGTAAGGTAGCATAGAATCTACCTCAACATGAACCTTAAGATGTCAGCAATCCTTCAGCATTTGCATTTCACTAGCAAAGAAAAATTCATAAGAAATTAGAAGAGAATGATGTTCCATATGCCCCTGCCAACCTGCAACCACAAAATGCCACACATCTGTGAGGATGCACCCTAACCGAATAAAACAACTCCAAGTTAAAAATATATAAATTCCCAACGAGGTAACCAAGGGCATAATGCAGCATAGCAGTGGAGCCAAGATCACTATCTAGTATAGGGGAAGAGAAGCCCAGAAAAAGAAGTATGCTTAAGAAACACAGGCTCTCTAGGTAACTGTTAGTGAAATTTCTGTTTAGGCCTAATCGATAGAGACTTAACAACAAATTTACCAAACAATCAAAAGAAATCAAGCAATTGTGTATGGTTCTAATGCCTTGAAGATTCGAGGACTTCTTTGGAATGAATAACTGATGAAAAACGAGACAAAGGATTGAAGAATAATAAAAATCGTATTAATCTTCAATGCAGAAAACAAGTACACTAATTAAACAGTGTTTAAGTACAAAGGAAATTCTATCTAATAACTACTCCTAATCTTGGAATTCTAGCAACTACTCCTAATCCTAAATTATGACCCAAAGTGTACGAGTAGGAGATTGAATTTTTGAGAGATCCCATTCCATTTGTAATGAGAGGCTATTTATAGATAGTGCATGAAACAACCACCACCCAAGAACCACCAATAACCCTCCACATTCTCCATCTTCAACCTTGCGTTGCCACTCATCCTCCATCCCTTCAATCTTCACAACTTCTCTTAACTTCCACTTAAATAAGAGAGTGTCACATGTGCTACAATAACAATACAAATAACAATAACAATAATAATTACTATAATAAAAATAATAAATCTGGATATGGTTGTTGTTATTCTTTAAAATGAATCGTGGCATAAATCGACAAGCCAAAATCAACAGGAAATAATTTATGGTGCAAAAAGCAATCTAATATATCGAGACAGCTAGTAAACTTATAGGCCATTTACATATTGGAATGGATAGCAGAGAAACTGTCATCAATCTGTGGCCTTGGAAAGAGGGAGAAAGCAGGGTAGATTAGAACCTCTGTTTTAATTTTTTAAGTGCTTGAGGATGCAGAGAAGACAACTACTACTAATCAGATTTTGTAATTAATATGGAAGAATCTCAACACCAGTGTATTGCTAATTTCCTTTTTACATTTTAAGGACATGGGCATGTGTCCAAGCAAATTACAATATATTGCATGGGCATGAGTACATATGCGTCCAAGCAAATTATGATAGAATCCTAGCTCATGAATTAAGTTTGGTGACTTTGGTAAGATCATCTAACTATAAGGTTCACATCTTCAAGGGCACATTTGTACATTTGGACAGGATAACTAGATAGGATAGGATATTGTTCGGATCAGAATGGAAATTGGATCCCACGGGATAAGATAATATCAGTCTAACATTTGGAAGGATGGGATTGAAGACCGAGTATAACATGGCATTCCAACACTATTCCTATCCCCTCTCCTTGGAAACTGACAAGATTAAGGTAGGTTTATATCATTTTTACTACTAATTGACACTATTTCTATGTCTAGGCAATTTAAACAAAGTTTTGGGGGAAGACAAAAACATTAATATGTTGTCCGCGATTCTAACCAAAGTTATCATTCATAAGTGAGCATTGACTACACTAAGTGTGTATCATGTGCATTTTGCTTCCACTTTCCACTTTTCCATTAAAATGCTTGCTCTTATGTCTTTTTCTTTTGAGTGGTTCACTGTCTTCTGATTCTCTCAATTTTGATATGAAACCTCAAGCCATAATTTTTTAACCAAATCTCTAAATTTACAAAGAAGAGCAAAGAATTATAGTTAAGTCTTTTGACATAAACATTAAATATAATGTGCAATATTAAGAGACTCAACAGAAGTTATAGCATTGAAGAAGAAGAAACGGTGGCAACCAACAAATATCAATGACTATGTCAAAGGCAGCAAAGTCTGAGATGGAAAAGAAGCTGTCAGGGATGGCAGGCGATGCAACCGATGATCATGTTCTTTTCCATACCATTTGTGCATGTTAATCCGGACACTAATCCAATCTAACAAATATGGCCCAAGGTAAATATTTACATTCTTGCTCCTTGCTTGTGGTTGTTAAAAAAAAATCCCACAATAAGTATTGCTACTCAAGGGCAAACTCGACAACCAAGCATCGAAATACAGACATTGGCTATTAGCAAAACCAATAGAAAATGTAGCTCAAGAATCCGAGACAAGCCATAGAGTGTCTAAAAGATCATGACTTGTAAGTCAATTACCATGCATTCTACCCATCTCTCAATGCCCAAGAAGAAAGGATAACATGATAAGCAAAGGGAATAAGGTTCAGCAATTGATAGACAGAGCCTTTTTTACTTTTCTCGTATGAACCATTAATATCACAATCAAGAGTCCGCCATAAACTTGACTTCCAGTGCATTATGTCAATAGGCTCTTAATGTTTATACCAGCTGATCAAGTAAAGGTAATTCCAAAAAGTTCACAGAGCTTACATTTGTGAGAAGCTTTCCATTGGTAATTATCAACACAAGTTTTGATGCAGATGTCATCAAAACCTCTGCTTGAGAGAAAATAAATAAATAAATAAATAAAAAATCGGCTCAAACTTATCAGAGAGCTATGGTTACATCAAACTAGCATATTCACTGAGTATAAAAGAAGCCAGTACTAATTTAATAAATAGTTGGAGATGTAGTAAAGATCACTAGAAGTTGCCAAGTATTCAGGTCCAAAGTCAGAATTAGCCAGCATCAAAAGATTAAATAGACTATGAAGAGCTAAAACTAATTTAGAATCATAGCACTAGCATTAAAATGAAAAGTGATGCAAAATATGAAAAGTAAGTGGATGGATAACAGGAGGAATTGAAAGCAAGGGTGGAGAGCCAAAAAAAACGTACGGAAGCACCAAGTAAAGTAATTCATTCCTCTCAGGGAGCATCATCATTTTTCATGTCGCCACAAACGTTACACTCCATTACACTCGATGGAATGCCATTTGACGGAGGCAATGGCGCCAATGTGCCCCAGCAATTCTTTCTATTACACATGTATCTCAAGAAGAAATATGCGTGAGGGAAATTATTTTCTTCATTGACCCCGCCATCCTCAGTGGAATCTTCCATAAGTTGATCATGATCCTCATCCATTGCCTCCTCTGTCTCTTCCTCCTCCTCCTCCTCATCCCCCTCGTCGTCCGACCAGTTTGCCTCCACCTTGCAGCGATCACAGGTACAGGTGAAGCCGTAATCTTCCCTCAACCTCCGCTGCCTGTCCGAGTGGTTGAGGTTGACAGGGAAATAACTCAAACATATCTCCCTGCCTTGAGGAATATCATGAATCACCCTGACAACTAAGTCAGTGTTGCACTCGGAAGCAGTAGCAGTAGCAGTAGCAGAAGCATCAACGTAATCGAACCTACAAGCATTGGGGAGGCAATCATGATTGAAGAAGGAAGCATTGGGGTAGATACCGTAAGCCCTGACAGATCTCTCCCCATCTTTGGCTAAAGGCTCCATCAAACCGAAGGCGTTGAGTTTGTCCTTAGCCAGCAAAGCAGCCGTTAGCTCTAAGGAAAAACTAAAAGAGCCATGAGGAGCAGGAGGAGGGCAGAGGGAAAAAATGAGGGCATGAAGGAATAGGGCAGCATCATCGGGCTGGGCAGGGGACTTGCCTTGAAGGCATAGCAGAATCCGGAAATTGGAAGGAGAAACGATGGCCAAATTATAAGCGGCGACGAGGAAACGAGCTTGGAGTTGGCGTTCTTGATGGTGATGAAGCAGCGGCAGCGAAGAAGGACAATAATCTCTAAGGCGACTTAGAGCTTGGCAGACCCAAGGGGTGTGGGACGAGGCCAGAGCGGCTGATCGGCAGTTGGGGCCACAAAAGAGGTATTCCCCCGCTTCCCCTCCTCCTCCTCCTCCGAGTACAGCAGCAGCAGCAGCAGTGCAACTGCACGAGGGGCACGAAACAACAGAGGGACTCGAATGCTCTAAGATTCTGAAGCAATTGGAGCAGTAGTCGCGGTGCTGGTGGCGATGAGACGGTGATAGAGATGGTGATGGTGAAGATGGTTTCAAAGGAATAGCAGAATAGAGGAGGATGGGGGAATCCCTGAGGACCACTTCCCCTGCTCTTAGGGCCTTAGAGGCAACCAGTGCCCTCCCCCTCCCTTCAATCTCTGCCATCCTCACAACGGCGGTTGCTGCCGTCGTCTGCCCATGAATATCCTCCGCCGACGACATTGACTTCACAAAAGGTTTGAGGAGTGATGCTGTTCTACTTGTTCAGCTCGTGTGTCTTGTGCCTTATTCGGCTCCGCTGCGGCCGCTGCAAATGCAAATCGAAACACCCCTGGGTTTGGAGGGTGCATCTATTTGCACAGACTCAATCCTCTATTTGCACATCTTTCTTAATTCACACATCTAAAAAAATAAAAATTAAAATACTTACTCATTACACACATTTTTATTCCAATTATATTCCCATAAACACAACTCTCCAACTCTCTCCCAATCCACACACCTTCCAGACTGGCGACCACCTCACCGGCAACCACCTCGCCGGCGGAGACGCAACACCATCATTACCACCTCCCTTCCAGTCGCCATTCTCACCCCTTCCATCACCCACCGGCGACACTATCGCGATGCCCACCCATCCCCTCGATCTCTCTCTCCCTTCTCAGTCGCAAAAAGGGGGCTTCGGATGTTGATTCTTTCCAGATCTAGGTTCTCCTCTCTCTCTCTCTGTGTATGCAGAATTGAGAGTCGCGAAGGGGTAGAAGCTGCGGTAGCGGTGGTGTTGTGTCCCGATGTGAGGGGTTACGGGAGTGGTAGGGAGAGTGGGTGAGTGAGCGATGAACGATGGGGTGGGGTGGGGCTTCAATTCGAGAAGAGAGAGGCGACGGAGGGAGGAAGGAAATGACCGAAGGAGGAGGCACTGTGCTGGGTATTAGGGTTAGGGTTAGGGTTAGGGTTAGGGTTTTAGTTGGAGAAGAAAGGGATATTTTGGTAATTTTATTTTAGGATAAAAATGTAATAAAAAAAATATCATTAAGTGTGTGAGGAGAGGGGAAGTGGTGTGTGCAAATAGAGGCTCCCGGGTTTGGATATCCACGCTCCAAATTTCCTTACTCCACATGGGGTCATTTTATTTACACACCACTTTCCCTCTCAAAGCAAACCATTAATTAATTTATTTTTTATTACAATTTTAACCTTAAGTGAAATGACTATAAATGACAAGTTATGATACACCTCATTTGTGTATTTACCATAAAAGACAAGGATCAATATAATATAAATCATCAATTTCAAACTTGTTCCTTACGAAACTTGTTCCTTACGTATTTTCTCCGTCAAGAATCCAAAAACCCTAAAACCAAAATCAAAAACCCTTCAACAAATAATCAAAAATATAGTATTATTGAAGATTTTGATTGGATTCAATGAATGATGCATCTGACAATTCTCATTCGGAACAATGGAGCAATGAAAAGATTTTTTTTTTTTTTTGTTATTGTTTTCGTCTTCGTTTTCGTTTATAAGTGGTAAATCGTTGTTCGGTTAACCAGAGGTGCATGATATATCATTGTTCAACAAACTACAATCGAACAAATTACATCTGTTCAACAGACTACATTCGAACAACTTATATCTGTTCAACAAACTACAATCGAACAAATTATATATGTTCAACAGACTACAATCGAACAACTTACATCTGTCCAACAGACTACAATCGAACAAGTGCAATTTGTTCGGATTACTACGGTCGAACTTTTTCATTTAATTCAACTCTGTACTGCCGAACAGTTATAAATTTTTATTTTTTTTTTCAGAACTATGTTGAGCAACACCACCGACGACGTCTTGATGAGTGTTTTCAGCAATGGTGTTCACCGGTATGAATAGAGAATGAAGTGGGAGATGAATATCGTGGGTGTGGGGTGTGTGGCTGTGTGAGGGTAAAGATGAAACTTTGTCTGTATATTGTTGTGGATGGGTGTGTGAGTAAAGGTAAATATATAAATTTGTGGTGTGTGATGAGAAAAATATTTATTTTTGCAAATTATTTTTGATGTGTCTTTAGAAGTGGTTTGCCTTGAGAGAGAAAGTGGTGTGTAAATAGAGCCTCCCCTCCACATGCTTAATAAATTTGTTCAAAATCATAATTTTATCCTTTAACAAAATTACTAACTCACCCACCATCATCTCACCTACGCATCTCACAATTTCTGCATACACATCTCACCTACCACTATCTGACCAGCCACTTTACCGCCAGTCATCGCCTCACATGCCCAAACCTCAACCATACAAAGTGGGGAACACAGATCAAACAATTGAATTGATTAATCAAGAAGAAAAGGTTACAATACATTGATCACTCATAAATTGATAAAATATCAGGTTCAACCATGAGTCCATTCAAAACAGATGGGTTGTGTAGAAACTGAACTTGAATCAAAACAATATATCGGAGGAATACAAAACGAAATATAAGAAGATCGATCTTTAACGCACAAACAGAATCAATCCAAGCAAAATCAAAACTTTTTTCATTAACTTTTCAAATTTGTACACAAGCATCGACAGATTCGCATCTAAAATTAAAATCAAACAACAAAAATATGAAACCATCAAATCAAGTGTACCAAAATGAGAAAGAGGACAACAAGTAGATTCAGATCGCAGTGTACCTTGTATTAAGGATGGAATGAGATGATGTGCACAGAAAATGTAAGGGTATATTTGGAATGTGAAATATATGGACTGAGAAAAAGAAGTAAAAATCAAATAACGAAATGTGTGGATTGAAAAAAGATGTATACAGAGATAATTTGGTGTGTGGAAATAGAAATTCCCCTGAGATTTCAAACTAATTCATTAATAACCTTATAATTCTCGAAATTACATCATCCCCTCAATGTTTATATTCACATTACAAATAAACCCTTCCATTAGTTGCCCGTTAAGTCAACCAACAGATTTGCTTATATCAATCTTTTATTTTTATGAAATTTCATATTTACCTTTGCTGAATTATTTTGTTTAATATAATAGTACTCCCACTCATACAAAATGAATAAACAAAGGGATTTCAATTTAATGATTAGGTTAAGAAAAATAAACTAATGAAGGGCTCGTTTGGGAACATGTTATTTTAGTAACTTTTTTACTTTTTACGAAAAGATGTGTAGAAAAATAAAGAGAGTGATGTAATAATTTATAATAACTTTTTGAATTTTTAACTAAAACAAAAAGTTACCAAACGAGACCTAAGAGATCACCTTTACATAGAGACATCTACCGTCCTAGTTAAGTAAAATAAACTAATAAAGAAAATACCACAACATTATACAATATTTTCTTTATCGTTATGGAAGCATGCATTGAAGAAAATCTCATAGGGATTTTTTAGGAAGTGGGTTAGTAGCCATTTCCAAGCTTTTAACTCATTTTAGATCACATCATCTCTCATATTTTTTACACTTTTTTCAAAAAAAAAAAAGACCAAAAGTTAGTTTTGAACCATCTTCTCAAAATAACCCATAAAGGCAACCTTTGTCCTATTTATACCTTTGTAGCCCACTTACGTTTACTTCTGCCGCACCTCAACTATCTATTGAAATTTTTATCAAATAATTAATAGATATCTATTGCAACCAATCCAAACCAAACCAAGCCTTAAGTCCCATCAAATGGGGTTGGCTACATAAATCCTTCTTCTCTATACGGCCCTATCAAAGGCCATTTCGTTAGTCAAATTAAATAGATCCATATATATTTACAATGCTACCCAACGTTAATCTAGGCCTACTCTGTCCCTTAACACTTCCATCTACCGTTACAGTATCGCATCTCTTCACTACGGTCTTTGTTGGTCTCCGTTGAATATGACCAAACCATCTCAATCAATTCTCTCTCAACTTTTCTTCTATCGGTGCTATTCCTACCCATTCTCGAATACACTCATTCTTAATTTTGTCTTGTCTAATCTTGCCATATATCCATCTTAGCATTCTCATCTCAGCCACACTTATCTTATTTACATATTGTTTCTTGATTGCCTAACACTCCGTCTCATATAACATTGCTAGTCTAATAGCCGTTCTATAGAACTTACCTTTAAGTCTAGTGGGTATTCGTTTATTGCACAGTACCCCAGACGCACTTCTCCACTTACACTATCCCACCTTAATCCTATGGGTTACATCCGCATCAATCTCCCTTGCTGTTGTGATAATCAACCTTAAATAACAAAAATGTTCACTCTTAGGCAACTATTGGTTTTCAATCTTCACTTCTCCTCTGCTTTCATTATTATTGTTACTAAATTTACACTCCATGTACTTTATTTTAGTTATGTTTATTTGGAATCTTTTAGATTCAAGAGTTTTTCTCCAAATCTCCAACTTTGTATTAACTCCTTTTTTAGTCTCATCCACTAGCACTATATCGTCTGCAAAAAGCATACACCATGGCACGTCATCCTGAATATTTTTCATCAACTCATCCATAACTAAAGCAAAAAGATAAGAACTTGAGGTAGATCCTTAGTGTAACCCTACAGTGATAGGAAATTCATTTGTCTCTCCAGCAGGCGATCTAATAGTGGTCACCACCCCTTCATGCATGTCCCTAATCATATCAATGTAGCCTTTTGTCACCCTTTCTTTGCTAACACCCACCATATTATATCCTAGGACACTCTATCATATGCTTTCTCAAAGTTGATAAACACCATATAAATGTCTCTTTTCTTTTCTCTATATTTTTCTATTACTCTCCTCAAAAGATAGATCGCTTCCATTGTTGACCTGCCTGGCATAAACCCAAATTGATTCTCTGACACCTCTGTTATATCTTGTAATCGGCATTTTATCACCCTCTCCCAGACTTTCATTATATGACACATTAGTATGATTCCTCTATAGTTGTTGCAATTCTAGACATCTCCTTTATTCTTATAGATTGGCACTAAAATACTCTTCCTTTACTCATCTGGCATATTCCTAGTCAACAAAATTTTACTAAACAACCTAGTCAACCAAGCAACCCCTTTTTTACCCAAAGCTTCAATAGGAATATCATCTGGTCCTAAAGCCTTATTTGATTTCATCTTCTTAAGTGCAAACTCAACTTCAAAGTTCCTAATCCTATCATAGAACCTATAGTCTTGGTTTATCGTATTACTGACTATTTCTTCCCCTAGTGCCGCACCTCCATGTTCCTCATTTAATAGTTTCTCAAAAAAGTTTTCATCTTTCCTTAATCTCTTCATCCCTCACTAATACCTTAGAATCCTCACTCTTGATGCACTTAACTTGATTAAAATCTCTTGTTTTCCTCTCTCGTATCTTAGCAAGTTTGTATACCCTTTTCTCTCCC